TATGTATGTATGTATGTATGTATGTATGTATTTGTATCTATTTACCCTGGCCTGCGACTTCTGTATGAAACCAGTGGCTAACGAGTGTAATGGAAAGACAGTTTCTCGGATAGTAGGAGCTTTGTCCGCGTATTATGTTTGCAACATGGTTGGCGGGGCATTCAGACTTGTTTGCCAGTTGGGATTCCACAGGAGCGTTTGGACACAATAGGGGCCTCAAAAGGTCATTAATATTACAGAGGAGGTCTGGGCTTTTTGAGGGGCGTGGCATATGTACACCTTCCCCTCCACCTAAAATGTGCCGCGTTTGCCCTCATGGCCCCGGGGCCACGGACCCAGAGTCTCGTCGCCAAGGTGGGTTCCCCTACTAGCGACCTTGTCACTAGTAGTTGTGGCCCCCAACCCAACAGCGATGGCCTCCACCTAGTGCCACCTAGTAGCGTCCTTGTTACTAGGTGCTCCTGTTGCATGATGATCTTGACCTGCCGCCCTTGTGCTGGTCCGTCCTCGGTGGCAACCACAGCGACGCCGGCAACCGCGGCGTGCGCGGCGTGCGCCGCGCGGCCGGAAACGTGCGCCGGCTGCGGCTGGGTATCGGGCGGCCGGATGGCGGTGATGTGGGGAGCTATGTGCTGGGGAAAGTGGAAGATGAGCTGCTGGAACGGTGGCAGGCCGATGCTTGAAATTCGAGTTTGGACATGTTTGGACAGTCTGGATCATGACATGTTCAAGAGGGAAAACAAGCTGCGGGCAAAGGGTTGAGTTTCGGAGTCTGCCTTTGAGAGTTTGAACATTGATTGGGGCTGAGCATGTGGAGACATTCAATCATTCCCATCACCTGCACCTTTAAAGGTCATGTTGATTGATGCTACTGAACTGACCGAGCACGCGTTAGAGCTGAGGTGCCCGCACTCAGCTTCAATGCACATGTTTGCACGTTGTTTGGTCGGCGCGACACGCAGCTTCAATGCACATGTTTGCACGTTGTTTGGTCGGCGCGACACGTCCAGACAGGTGATTCTGGCTGTCCTAGGAGATCGATTAGGCCAAGGCCACGGCCAACGCTTACTGACTTTGATGGCTATATACAACTAAGCACCGTTAACCATCAGGATTCATAAGGAGAAGGAGAACGAGAAGTAGCTGTAGCCGCAGCAGCAGCAACAGCAGCAGCAGCAGCAGTGGTAGTAGTAGTAGTAGCAGTAGCAGTAGCAGTAGTCGTCGTCGTAGTAGTCGTCGTCGTCGTCGCAGTAGTTGTAGCAGGAGTAGGAGTAGGAGTCGTGCTGTTGTTGTAGTACTTAGTACAGTCAAAGGGTTTGCTTTCTGTGTTACCTTTTCCATGACTTGAAGGTTCCCACGCTCCCAAGGTGGCAGCCCAGTCCGGAGAGCTGCTGAAGATATTCGGCACCGAGGGCTACACACGCGGGCGTTTGGAGGCGGGCGATGGGAGACCCTCACCAGCCAGCACCCTCAGGTGGAGACTTTTCAGCTGAAGGACTGGTGACTGGTATGTTTCTTGCATGTTGGATTGACCATAGGTGTCACCTTCGAGAACAAACACAATTGAACATTGAACGGCCTTGCAGCGCGACGTTGTTGCCCCCGAAGAGTATGGACATGTCATCCCACCTTTGAGCACAAGATGTAGGGAAGTGGATGGAAGAACATGTTGCTGTTTCAGTGTTTGTGGTTGGAGGCCAGTATCCGCAGGTGGTTGGCACAAATTTGTTCTTTGCGAGGCTGCAAGCTGACTCACTTTGCCACGACTTCTGAGAAGACGCGGATGGTGCAAGGGAAAAAAACAATGGAAAAAGGATGTGGGTTTTCAGGGACTTGGAGTCAACGGTCGTTCGGCGGTACGCGTTTCGGTCTGACCCAAGGGACCAAGGAAGACGGGAAGACCCGGAGACGGGTGACGGGAGATCGGAGCAGCTTGCAGGGCATTGTTTGTTTGTTGGATGTTGGACCGAACAACCTCTTCTGATTGGTTGTTTCTACTAGCTTCTTGTTACTAGTAGTAAGGCCCTTGCTCCTAGTAGCGATGCCAGGAGCCCCTAGTAGCGAACATTGCTACTAGTAGCTCTTGGTTGTTTTTGTCCTTAAAGTGTAAAGTGTCAATCAGAATGGTGCCATTATGGCGACACATGGCTGTAACACATGGTAGTACACATGATTTATCCAAAGAAAAATCCAGACTTGTCCGGGGGTTGGCTCAAGATCCAGAGACGGCACCTTAGTTTGACGAGTTGTTTTTCATTATATCAACACTTTGATTCAATCACGCACTTGTTGATTTGAAGTGGCCGGCCTATGTGAAACTCCTGGTGCTTCTAACTTCAAACCTATCTTCCCTCATAGAAGCACCTGATTTGTCAGCATGCCCTCTAAGACGTGTTCCCAACATCTCCCAGCAAAAATATGTTCTAGCTTCCTGTAGCCAGTCAGTGGTCAAAAGGATCCCCCTTCATGTAATCTCTGCATATCAAACAACCAGAGTTTGTGTTTTGCATCGCCGCCTGGCCAACAATATCATGGATTTGTTTGCGAAATGTGTCGGCTTTGGCCAAAGCCATTTGGTTCAATTGGCAGAAACATAGTAAGTGTAGCGTGAGTGGTGGTTTCGCGTTTCACGATGTTCATCGCAGTGGTCGTTATGGTTCTTCCCTTCGCTTGGGCTGGCGATCACTTCCTGCACAAGAGGGCTGAAGATTGCGATGTGACAGGGCACTTTAGCTGCAACACCACCGTTTTTGATGAGATGGGTGAGATCACCTTCTATCCCAATGAGAAGGACGAGGTGACTTTGGTCAAGAACGACTACGCAAAATTCATGCGGGTTGGCCTTCACTATGGGGTTGACAACCATGAAATTCAACATTGCGCAAAAGTGCCCTCACCGCACCTCACCTATCGCTGTGCCATTGTCGAGACTGTAGGGCAGGATCCCAATGCTCGCTTCCATGATGCCTTCACAGACTACGTCTTCAATGACGATTGCAGCTCTTTTACCAAGGTGGGGACACATTTGTCGAACACCGCTGTGGTGAATGTGGAATGTGCTCGCATCAAGCAGTGAGTGTTGACAGCTTGTCCTCCAGTGGCGCGTCCTCCTGTAAAGTCGGACGCCTGCATTTCCCAGCCGGCGACCGCATGTATAGACTGTGCAGGCCGACTGGACTGGGTGCCTGCTGAGAACTTGCAGCAGGAAAGACGAATAATTCACACCAAATCCATTCAACTCCAGCCCGAGCATCAAGAGAGTGCGAGTTGGAAAGGATGGCTTGATGATGCTTGATGCTTTTTTGGTTGAGGTTTACCAAACCATCAAGCATTTTCTCGGCCAGATGCAGAACTGCAGCTTGGACCTTTGGCCCACCAAATCTCAAGATAGATCAACGACAAATATAATATATATATATATATACCGACTATTGTGTGGTTGGTTGGAAAGTGAGTGATGTTCCAGGCCCCGCGCGCTTTGGGCGCGCATCGTCAGCCCGGCGCTGCCTATGGACGCCGAGAAGATTTTATGTCGCTCCCTGGGGCAGGCGCGTTTCGATGAAGACGTGAGGGTGTGGAAAGGCGGACTTCGTGCGTTTTCACAGTCAAATTGGGAGGTCAGTCACACATGACCTGAGGTGTTGGGGGAGTACAAATTGCTTACTGTATACAATGTGTGTGTGTGATTGTATGTGCAGTCTTGAGGTCAGAGGGAGGCCAATGTGGTTGGAGGTGTTTGGAGTTGGAGGAGGTGTGACTTCCTTTTTTCGAGGTCTTCATGGCTTGATAATATTTGATGTGGAGTATATACGTAGCTCTCCAAACACCATGTTCATTGGAATGCTGAGCATGTTTTTGGGGCCGCACCGACTGCTGGAAACCGAGCCTGGCAGAGGACACCAGGCAGTGCAGAGGAGCCTTCAGAATCCTAGGAGGCATTCCTAGCAACATCGTCCAGGATGCTGGTCTTCACATCGTCCAGTTTTACTCACCTGCCGGAGGAATGAGAAGATTCAAGACGAAGACGCCTTGGCGCAAGCCAAAGGGCTGACAAAGAGACCCCAAAAACAACCTGGACATGGTTGCATGTTTGGTGCTATGCATGTAGCTATGTCTACAGTGTCTACAGTAAGCTTTGCTCTGACCACAATCCTCGTGTCTTCCGGCACTCTGACGCAGCTTCCAGGGCTTTCACACCCATAATGGTCTTCCCATTGGGTGAGGTTCATGTTGCGCTCGGGCGCTCCATCAGGTCCTCAAAGCGCCCGACCGACACCTGGACACCAGATGGATGAAGAAGGCACCGGGGTGACACGCGGAAGGCCGATGTGTGGTGTAAGGAAAGATCGCAGAGAAGACGTGGACTATTCTAGAAGAGCATGTGTTGATCTTCAACGTATGTAGTTCTCAACAATTGGCAAGCTTCACTCATTGAGTTGAAGCCACATGCGGCCAAGTGATTCTTTCCTTAGACGGCTTTGGGTCAGCCTCCTAAGATAGTTTGGCGTGGGTCAAATTCCACTAGGTCCTAGGTGCATCGAGGCAGACGTTTCTCAAGAGAAGCTGCGAAAAGACGACCTTACATATCAAAGTGAAAAGCACGCTTACAACAAGATCAGGTGACCCTTTCAACGGGTTAAATGCCTTTCCTGGTGTTTCTCCTTTTTTTACCCTGATTCCTGAGTCAACGGGTACTGCCAGGGTTGGGCCAAGCTCCTGTATGTTTTGCAGAGCGGTCCGCCCGACACCCAGCGATGCGCGGCTGGCGTCGGAGGCAACAAGTTGGAATTTGGGTGGGTCCAAATCCAAACCCCTACAGGCTCAGAGCTCCACTCGCAGTGGATACCAAGAAAGACTGCATGTGAGGTTCAGAAGCAGAGTTGAGGATAACTGCGAAGCTGCTAGCACAGCTAGCTTCTTGGTTGTCCAGGATGGACATGACCAGCTGTAATTATACTATATACCTTTGATCTGCTTGTGGCGGCTGCGGCTGGTGTCCTATAGGACTTGAAGGCACTGACCAAGCATTGAGCGATATTGAAAGGCCAATCATGATGGGTCACCCCGACGTGTCACTTCCCACAACTTGCCCAGCCACTTGGGGGGTTCCACGCTTTGGGTTTGCTTCATGGGCAGGGACCCCTTGTACATATGACACAAACCTGGGGGAAGAAGTGATACAGCAAGCTGTGGCTTTCAGGAGAAGTTTTCGCATGCAACATGCACCCAGTTGACCCCAGTTGTGCGTTCCATTGTATTGTTGGTCGGAAATGCCTGAGAGACACCAGAAAAGCAAATGCCCCACATGCATTCTCCTGCAGCACAGGTTGCGCTCTGCGGTGGATGCATTGTCCCCTCAAGGCCTGGCACCATGGCCAAGCTGACACTGACCCGGAACGGTTGGTCTTTGCAACAGCACAAAAACCAATAAGTAAATTTATAAACTTCAAACATTTGCATTTATGCAGCATGCAGCTTCGCTGTACGTTACAGATGCTCCAAAGGTCTCACATTTTGCCAGTGTTCGCACCAATCGCACCACACACCCCGAAGAGGACCCAGGTTGCACGCTTCACGCATTGAGGAACACAGGAGCTTTGGGACGGCGTGCTGCCGGCGGCAGTCCTGAGAGCGATCGAGGAGCTCGCCGTTGGGGGCCCAGCACTTGATGACAAGTGGGTGGAAGAGAGCGGCACATGCTTTTCATCGGTTTCTTCACGCCTCATGTCTCACCCAGAGGTGTGCTGTGTGGCACCAACACCAGAGGCGGCGGCTGAGAAAATTGCCAGGGCGCCCAGGGGCATGGAGAATGAAGAACAGAGCTCGGAGGTTTGAGGCTCTCGCCATGAACCTTATCTCATTCGCATAGAAAAATGCTGCACCATGGGATGTGTTGGAATCTCAGGAACATTTACAAGCCATCCTGCGTCATCACCCCACCAGCCAAAAACCACGCTCATGGCAGTTGCTGTCATTTTCCGGTTCAGAATTTCTATGAATTTCTGCAAGTTAAATGCATCGGCCAAAGTCTCCTGGGTTTGATAAGCTTATAAAAAACTTTCATTGGAAAGAACCTGTTTTCAAAATTAAAAAAAGTCAATCCCAAAGTCAAAAAAAAGTCAAATTGAAAAGTCGAACAAAAGTCAAAAAAAAGTCAACAGTCAACAAAAAGTCAAAAAAGTCAAACAAAAACTTTGCATAGGTAAACAAGTCAAGGAAAAGCTTGTAACAATGCAAATTGCAGCCTTTTTGCCTATGGCTTATGGCTTTCAGCTGCTGCTCAAATTTTGGGGCAGGTTGCTGCCAGGGCCAGGCTTTGGGCTGGCTGCGGCTGGCTCCTGGCGGAGGGGTCAGGTTGAGGTCGAGCTCAGGCAGGCTACAGGCGGGCTGGGGCATGCGGGGCTGGGCCGGCAAAAAAAAGTCAAAAAAAAGTCAATTGGAAAAGTCAAAAAAGAGTCAAATGTGCGGATCCTAGCCTTGGCGGATTACTGGAGGCAACAAAAAGTCAAAAAAAAGTAAAAAAA